GAAAAAAACCAAGGCAAAAAAAAAGGAATAAATGATTTATACAACTTCATCCTCATGAGCTTTGAAAGTTGGACAAAATGTTGAGATAGCCATGTCCATAAATAACTTGACAACCACTTTTTCACTTTTATATGATCTGAATAATCATTCTCTAGCCTCCAAGAAAAGTTAAAAATTCATCCAAATCTTTGTTATTCCCCCACATTCCAGAGCCTATAAACAAATTAGAAAGCTAATCCAGAGAATAACTATGACCTGCATCAAACCAACAGGATATTGCACCATGTATGCAGTAAGAACATCAAGCAACCTCATATAGTCCCATTGGGAAAACTAATTTTCTCATATCAAAAACCTAACATTAAGGTCGGATGAAATCTGGCTCTTACATGAAGATAAAAAGGTAATCATCATGAAGCAGCACCATCAACCTTACGTCTATATTGTCAACAGAAACTATGGCCAAAGGGCCAGAAAAAGGGGGAAGAAGAAAGATGTTCTTGGTTCTTATATCATGCCAGCAATTTAGTTCATGCAAGCTATGAAGCACCGACACTCCATTCTTGGCCCCGAGTCCGTGTCCGACGCGTATCGGACGCGACACGCGGGCAACGCCCCCGACACGCGTCTCGACACGTTCTCGACTCGCCGAATTCTGCCCGATTCATTCTTGACAAGCGAATTCACCTGAAATACCTCTATAACCATCAAAAAACCCAAACCCTAGACCTATTGATCGAGCGGCAGCCTTTCATCTCCCCCTCTCGCGATCTCGTTCTCTCTCTAAATCCTCTATCTCTCTCTCTCTGAATTTTTATATTTTGCAATGTTAGACTAGTTAGTAGCTTAGTATCTTGTGTTTGAGGATTACATTTTAGTTTGTTGTTTGAATTTTATAAATTTATCTATATATAATAATAATATTTAAAAAAATCTAGCTGTGTCAGCGTGTCCTATTTTTTTGGGTTTTGTCGTGTCTGTGTCGTGTCCGTGTCGTCGTGTTCGTGTCCGTGCTTCGTAGCATGCAAGCATTGTTTTCAATATCTCCGACATGGCCCGATATATCCCCCGATATATCCTTTACAGGGCTTGCCATAACAGGTATGATCTTTAAATATCCTTTATGCTTTTTTGGTATTTTGGGCGATACATCTTGCCATAACCGGTATGATCTCTAAATATCATTTACGCTTTTTGGGTATTTTGGGCGATATATCCCCGATATGACCGATATATCAGCCAATATGTTGTTGATATATGCTTTTATATGGCTTGTCGCAAAACAATATACCATGTTAGGCTAGTTTTGGGCAAGATATCATAATTTTCCTATTATATTAAATGACATTTTGGCGTAAAAAACCAGATCAAAATGTTGTAACGTTGATTTGTACTTTTGTTTGTTTTACAAGGCAGATTAGTGATCCTAACATATATTATTTACATTGTATATACTTAGATTTCCATAGGTATGTAGAAACTACATTTTAGTGCATTACACTATATATGAAAACATTTGTTATAGCAATCTGATATTTACTACATATCCCCAATATATCCCCGATATCTACAATTCGATATGAATTTTGGTCAACCGATATTTTCTCGATATCTGATATTTAAAACCTTGCACGCAAGTGGACACTTACAAGAAAGCTCTTGCATTCGGGGCCTATGTATTCTTGATCAAGTTAGTGGTCTTCTATCTATACCGCAAAAAGTAATCTTTTGAAATATTACAACCCGAACATGAATATTAATATTACTTGTTTTTGTAGATAAAACAAGTCCCACAAAGCTACTTCAAAACAGAAAATGGAATTTTAACTTTCAAATGAAAATATTATGGTAAAATCCATATGAAATTACCATCCAGGCCAATTCTCTGTCCAAAATTTTGGCTTTTCCGGGGAATTTGGTGTGAATTGATCACAGTAAAATGAATTGCAGGTGTTTATCTGCAAATGTATTAACAACAGCAGTTCATTAATGATAGCTCTGATGTAAATTATGGAAACAGCAAGCAATTTTCTCGCAAGGAAACTTGGAGGCTCCTTTACACAAACAAATTAAGGCAGACAATGTAAATCTTGCAGGCTCCTTTACACAAATGTGTACAGGTAGAAACAAGAGGGCATATGTATCTGCAAATTAATTATGATATAAAAATAAAGAGTTCATTTGTATGGAGTATGGCTCACAAACGGCATGGCAATACAAGTTTTCCATAAACTAATTTCTTAGCTTAAATAGGCTTAAGTCGAGGAGTTGTACTTAGAATCCAAGAATTGTCAACTCATCATGCCTCCTACTTTATACGTGCCTCATGTTTACTTTTTGCCTTATTTCTGCTTTTATTTGTTCCCCTAGAACATGCACCAAGGAATATACTATTGAAAGGTGAGAAAATTGCTGCATTTTATCATGCAATCCTAAATCAATTCTTCAATATAAAGTTATTAATTTCTTACCACATGGTTGGGAGCATCATATTGTTGGCACATAATCCAAGGAATACCTATATCCTGAGAAAGAGCCATACTTGCAGCCCACATTGCATAATCTTTTGCCCCGTCACCATAGGGCTTTTCAATATCTCCATATTCATTTTCAATCTGCAATTAAACAAGACATGTTATATACGTGACCAATGTTGACTGAAATTGATGAATAGTGGAAATAATTTATTTATCTATATACTAAAACAACGGAGGATTGCATTGCTCATAGCTACAGCGCAATCCCCAATTAAATTAGTATATAGAAGATAAGATAAAATGCTAGCTACACTCCTATACCTCACCTTTATAATTAGGTCAAAGAATAGAAAATTAAGCAAAGAACACTATAGTGCATCCTACCAACCCAAAAAAGTTCAATTTTTAGTTTTTTACCTCTAATCCCAAAGTTCACGGCCACTTATTGTAAGCACATCCACACGCAAATTTATGTTTCTTGCCTATAAACCCAAAATACCCCATTTATTTTTAAAACTGCACATTTACAAAGTTAACCTTAGAATACTCCGTTAACTATGGGGCGTGCCTCAGAAAACCCCTTTAAACTATTTAAATTTGAGAAAACCTCCTCAAGTTTGAGGGTTTTGTAGATAACTCCCTCAACTTGAAAATTTGAGAAAACTCACATTTCTCACTTAACTCTCTTAATTAACACCATTAAGTCTAATGTGTCACGTGACAAGCATGTGACCTAAAAAGACTAAGATATTCTCTTAATTTGAGGGTTTTGGATCCGCAGTATTGTCGGCTTCCTCCTGGTTTGCGATAGGTGGTAGCTTAATCTTGTTGTTTTTAAGGAGGGATTCGAAGATGGCTGGAACGTCTTCGTCCTTAAAGGAATACTCTTTTTGGAGTCTCGGGTCCGAAGTCTTTTGCTGCCTTCGGGATTGCTGTTGTGACACTTGATTAGCACCAACAGCAGCTGCATGTGTCTTGCCCTTACCATGGGAGGCAAAGTTCGAGTTCGGAGGATTAGCCGTCGGTTGGCTCCTCTCGGCCTTCTTCCTTCGGAGGAAGCGTTCGGCTTTCCAAGTGTTGGACGGTGCGACTCCCATAACTTTCAATATCTCAATAGATAGGTTGTTATGACATGTCTGGAGGATGAAGTCCTCCGTGATCGGATCTCGACAGTTCATTGCCTTATTCCTGAAGCGTTTGACGAAGTCGTCGACTGTCTCGTCGTCTTCTTGCTTCTCATCGAAGAGTGTCCTGATTGACACCTCGTCGACTGTCTCGTCGTCTTCTTGCTTCTCATCGAAGAGTGTCCTGATTGACACCTCAGCGTCATCATCGAAGAAATGAGCGAGAAATAGGCTCTCCAGGTCTTCCCAGCTGTTAATACTTCCGAACTTAAGACGGCGGTACCAATCGAAGGCGGGCCCGCGAAGGGTGCCGACGAATGACCGAACCATCAAGGCTTCATTGCCGGAGATCATTCCCAAGTGAGACTTAAAGTAGATCAGATGTTGAGTGGGCGAACCCTTCCCGTCAAACGGCATGAAGTTAATCAGGTTGAACTTCGCCGGGTATGCTATTGAATCCCACTCTCTTGGATAGGGACATGGAATGCCAGTCCTCTTTACCTCTCGATCAGACATTAGAGCGTTGATTTTGCTCTCTAGATCTTTCATTTTCTCATCCTCGCTCGTATCGGGGTTTGGATGATTCTTAAGAGGAATAACGTGGCCACCCCCGACATTATCATCTTCGGTGGAACCACCCCCAACGTTGTTATCTTTAGTGGGTCTACCCCTGGTGTTATTATTTTCAGTAGGGCCACACCCAGTGTTCTGGTCAACGGGAGGATTCTCAGCATTAAGACGTTCATCCATATCTGAATCGCTACCTGCTTGGTCAGCACAGTTGCGACGGCTGGATTCACCGAACTGAATGGATAGAGCCCGAATTTGTTGGTCATGCTCTTCCCTCATTCGTAGCATAGCCATTTCTATTTCGATCTTGAATGCCTCTTTCTGCTTGGTTAGGGCATCCTCAAGAATTTTGGCAATTTGCTCGGTGTTTATCATGAACACTTCACGAGATTATCACGGATTAGATACCGTATTATCCGAAGCGATTGCCGAGTTAGCATCTGATGCTTCATTATCCGATGATAAACCTCTCTGCATTCTCTGATAGTCCCTACGTCTAGTGGTCCCTGATCGCAACCGGGTTAGACGATGAGATATAAGCGGGTCAAAGCTAGAAGGTCGAATCGACTTTCCCTTATCAGCCATATTTATTGTGACTTCCGGGAGTTCGTCACCTTGAACAACCGATCGCTTTTTACAGAGACGCTTTGGTTTGGACTTAGTCATTCCGTTGGAGATCCTCTCAGATACCGAGACCTTCTGCGGAGCGGTCTTAGGGCAACTGCACGCTGATAATACTGCTCTGATTAGTTCGGCACACGGGCAGTGAGATTTGGTTTCTCGGGCATATCTTTTCCGAGACTCGTTCATACTCCCAGCCTGATAGTACAACTCATCGGTCAGATGACCGGAGCAACCTATCGTGTGTTGACATGACTCCCCTGGTATAACGTTGTCATCGTCAGATGAATACGTTTCTTTCAGGGGATTTGCTGCTTTATTAGCATTCTTAAGAGTCACGTGTTTAGAACTACGCTTTTGGGAGCGCAGGATCTCAACAGGCTCTTGGTTTTGGATACACACCCCCAGGCGGGTGGAAATTGGAGTTTTCCCTTTATAAGAAGGCTTGAAATTGTTGCGAGGGCATGTGCGACCCCCAGCTCGACGAGTCGCTCGGGGTTCAGTCACTGGACCCAAGCGTTCTTCGATGAACTTTGCCTCGATCCTCGTGCAAAGGACTCAGGCGATCGACTATCCTCACCTTGAATCGGGACAAATCCACGCTGTCATGGTGCCCCGCCGGAGGTGCGGAACTCGAAGGGATCGACGAAATATGTGAAGAACGTCTTCTGTCTTTACCCGACGCGGGTCAAACTTGAGTAACCCGCGGAGTGGAGAGTCGGATCCAAGTGACCCGCGAAGTGGAGAGTCGGATTCAAGTGACCCGCGAAGTGGAGAGTTGAATCCAAGTGACCTGCGAAGTGGAAGGTCGGATCCGGGTGACCTGCGAATTGGCGGGGCGGATTTGGGTGACCTCCCAAGTGACCTGCGAAGTGGAAGGTCGGATCCGGGTGACCTGCGAATTGGCGGGTCGGATTCGGGTGACCTACGAATTGACGGGTCGGATTCGAGTGACCCGCGAATTGACGGGTCGGATTCGAGTGACCCGCGTTTTGGCGGGTCGGATTTGAGTGACCCGCAATTCGGCGAGTCGGATTTGAGTGACCCACGAACCGACGGGTCAGATTTGAGTGACCCGCGTTTTTTGATCTTTTCGGCCGCTGTCTTGGACTTTGGCCTCCAAACTTTGTGCAGTTTCTGTGGCTTCTTTTCCACTTCTTCCCTCTGCAATCTTTTGGCCTCTTGCGCAAGAATTCGCGCGTGCGCAAGCAGTGCACGGCGCTTTTTGATCCGCTCTTCAAGAGTTGAACGAGTCCTTTTGGCTTGTACCCATTCACTTGTTGGTGATTTGGAAAAGAGGGCATTTGTCCGCTGTTGGGACGCTTGGTGTTTTTTAATTTTTAGATCCGTCTCGTAACGGATCCCGTCAATTGACTCCAAAGCCCTACCGAGTTGGCGCGCAATGCATTGGCGCCGCCTTTGGTGAGCTCTTTTCGATAAAGTGGGCGCGCCTTTTGTACTCAACTCTTTGATTGAGGAGGAGTTCAGATCTGCAGATCCGGCTTCATTGGAGGCCGGAAGGGCGTTGCAAGGTCCAGCTATCGCAGCAACGGGGGCGTTGATCTTCCTGCACTTGCGAGAAGCGGAGGATCTGGAGGAGGACGAGAGGTATTCTTCATACTTCTGTTGGTCGAACTCGTATTCGACCACCTCTTCAACCGGGATCTTAATCATCGGTTGCGACACGACGGCCTCGGCAGCGAGACCGTTGGCTCCCACTGTGGTCGCCAGTTTGTTTGTGTCGAAAGTTGCTGTTTTCATTGCTATCGAATCTATTACAACTTTAGTCGTTACAATAAACTCGAATAAAATAAAAAAATTGATTTTTTATAAGATCTCCTTACACAATGAAAATAAAAAAAGTTTACAACTTTATCAAACAAACGCAGAGATCGTTTATCGATCTTCTGCTTGCATGGGATCTTTACCTGTGCCGGGGTTTATCCGTAGACGACCGTTGATCTGGATCCAGTTAATGAAAAATTCGACAGAGCTACGCCTTCACCGAGGTAGTGTTTGATTTGAAGCGCTGAGATCGACCAAGCGAAATCAAAACTCTTCTCGAGATTAAGACCAAGCCTAATCTCGAGGAATGGACGGGAACGGGCGTCGGATCTCTCAAACTCTCCTTCTTTATGCTAAAGAACTCGCCAAGATCTGTCAACCCTCGCTGAAATTCGTGCTCCTTTGACTCCTCAATCCAACAGCACCTCCACGTCTTGATAATAACTTCGCCCCCTGAAAGGAGGCCCTAGGTTTGTATTTATAGGGCTCCGGATACGGGTTTGTGGATGAGAATGAGTGATTTGGCTCTATCTTCAGTTAACAACAGCCTAACCACGTTTGGGGTTGATATCTAGGCAGTTGGGAACCCCTGGAACAGATAAATCCTGAGAAAACCGTCAAAAAACCGAATAGGGGTCGAAACGGTGCGCTGGGGCAAGTCTGACCCGCGCTGGCGCGGGTCGGCTGGATCCGACCCGCGCCGCCGCGGGTCGGACTTGGCCGACCCGCGCGGGCGCGGGTCGACGCGGTCCGACCTGCGCGGACGCGGTGTTTTGACGTCTTGCTGAGCTCTGATGTTTTCTGGTCTTTCCGGGACTTGTATTTTCCACCGTTTTGCGTAATTGATCGTCTTATTGACTTGTACGCTTCGTTGCGGAACTGACCGACGCGTATGAACTGATTGACGCGTGCGAGCGGATTGTCTCGACGCACGTGAGCTGATTGTCGAGGGCGTGAGCTGATTGTTAAGCGCGCAAGCCACTTGGTTCGCCGTTTTGCTTCAAGCGCTTGTCGACGACAGATAATCCTCTTAGACTCGGATAACGACGTTCGTTGTCTTCTCTTCGTCTCGAGCTGTGTACGGACACCTATAGGCATTTTTAGACGCCTACAAAGATTTAGAAGAAGATGAATCGAACGGCGTGTGGTGTGATTAGATCTTGTTTAACTCAAAATTTGAAATATAATATGATCAATGAGACTTCAGTTAAGAAGATTTGGGAGATCCTAGAGGGCAAGTATTTGACAAAGAATGTAAAAAACCACTTGCATTTGAAGAGGAGGCTTTATCGCTTCCAATTGAAGAAATAAACCTCCATTGGTGATCACATGAACCACTACACGAAGCTTCTTACGTATTTGGTGAATGTAGATGTGATGATTGAAGATGAGGACAAGACGTTATTGTTGAGTTTCTTGTCCGACGAGAAATATGAGACTTTCGTTCTTACTCTTATTAATGAAAAGATTCGTATAGTGAGGTCACTACTACACTTGTGAATTATCAACTTCGAAAGAATGATAAGGAGATTTCAGTTGAGTCGGTAGCGGGAGCATTGGTCGTGAGAGCAAAAAATCCAAACCGTGGTAGGTGATCGCAATCTAGAGGGGCACATCCTGTTGTTCGTAAAATTAGTGTACTTTTTGTAAAGATGATGGATATTGAAAAATCGAATGCTCAAAGTTGATTGATCGAGCCGGGAAGAATAAAGGAAAAACTATTCAAGCTTCAGAGGTGAATGTTATCAAGGCTAGTGATGACAATTCAAATTCGGATTCGTCAGGTTATTCATTAGCACTACCGTCAATTTGTTTTGCTGACTCTACAGAATTGATGTTGAATTCAGCTGTTTCTTACCATATTTGCCCTAGGAGGGATTGGTTCTTTAGCTTTCAAGAGTTAAAAAAAAGGGATGTCGTGCTTATAGGTAATAATCATAAATACCCTATTGGTGGTATCGGTATCATTCGTATTAGGATGTATGACGGAGTGATTCGGGAGCTAGATGAAGTAATGTTCGTTCCTCAGTTGAAGAAGAACATTATTTCACTTGGAATTTTGAATGCAACAGGTTATAGGATGACCTTAGAGGATGTATGTTTGAAGGTCACATTTGGATCCATGATTATGATGAAGGACGTCGGGAGGAAGAATTTGTACTATTTAATTGAAAGCACAGTGATTGGTAGAAAACTGACGACTTTTTTAGATTTGGCTAGACTGTGACATTTGTTGAGGCTAGGATATTTGATTGGTTATGTCGTGCATGGTTTGTTGAGGAGTATTTTGACCTGCTGATTGAAGTCCTTTGAGCACATTGGTATGAGCAAGAAGACCGAGTTAGAGTTTGACACTTCTATCCATCGATCGAATGGTCTTTTAGGTGGTGTTCATTCAGGCATTTGAGGAGCTTCCATGGAGGCATCGTTGGGAGGTAATAGGTATTTGATTTTCGTAATTGAGGACTATTCTAGGTATTTATGGGTTACAACCAAGTCCCGTTGGTTTGAAGTCCTAGAAGTCAACAGATGGAGGAAGTGAGTTGGCAAAAAGATAACCCGTCGTTTTATTTTTTGTAGGGGTTTTTTATTGCATTTGTGTCAAGCTCACGGCAGTTTGAGACACTATTAGAGAGGAGACATTAGGACGACGAGATGAGATGATAGTTTTGATGGGTCGTTCCTTACTGGAGGAGGATCGATGTTTGATGTCGAGCATTAATTTTGATGTTCGGGTTTCGACATGTTTGGGTCATCTTAATCATAGGTTGCCGACTGCTGTGTTTAGAAATTTTGGATCTGATGAAGCTGCTTCAGATTTTAGGTTGCGTCAGATGTTTGGTTTCCCAACATTTGGTCACATCAATGATGTGAGATTTGATCTGATTGCACATTTAGAATTCAGAGACTCGTTTGGTTATTAGTTGGGAGACTCTAATTTTGTTCTAAGCAGGTATGTCATATTTGACTCTCGACAGTTGGAGAGTGTTGATCAGATAATTGGGATATCGTAACGAGTGGAAGGTAATGCTACTCCACATTGGGTGAAGATTACTCTACATACTCCAGATCATACTGCGTCGTTTGGGATTCCAGCTGAGGTGACAAAATTTGGGGATCATTTGAATTTGGATGCAGATGGTGAGCTGGTTTTGGATTCAAGTACAGCTGGTGGACATAGTTCGCATTTGGTTATGATCATTGGTTCATCTCAGGTGGAGGTGTTTGGTTTGTTTCACTTTGGAGCTATTGGGAGTTCTAGCAGCCGCAGATTTGTTGATTATATTGGAGAAGGGTTGTGAACTCTTCTAGTTGATTGAGGATCTTTGGAAGCCATTTGGTGAACTACGTGAAGACTTGATTCATTAGGCAAGAGGATACGTAGGTAGTCATTTATGATGCATCCGGTTTGGTGAGTTGATACCGATATTTGGAGTTTGTTCGCATTCTCGTTTAGGTTCTCGACTTGTTGTGGATTGAGTCTGTTATCATGGATTTGTTCTACTTCGTACTAGACGTAACAAGTGAGACGTTTGGTTGGTAGTGGTGTCGGCTCAGTTTTGGAAAAACTTTATCGAGGTAGAGAATTGTTGGATAGCATGTTCCTAATATGTTTCCTAATTTATTTTGGTAACAGGTTATTGGGATTTCTAATCTGTTTTGGTAACAGGATTCCAAATCTGTTTTAGTAACAGATTATTAGGATTCCTAATCTGTTTTATTTTTTATTTTAGAATTCCTAGTATGTTTTTGGTTTTAAAATTTTTATATATATGGAACAATTGGAAGAGAGAATTTAGCAGTGAATTGGGGATATTTGGACGACAGAAAAGAAAAGAGGTATTTTCTGAACTATTGGTTAGGATTTTATTTAAAGAGAATTAAAGATTTGTTGGTGAGATTAACTAGTGAGTTCAAGTGATTTGTAATCTCAGTTTGTACTCTTCTTTTCTGAACGTAGGCAACTTGCCGAACCACGTTAAAATTGGTTGTTTGTGTTCATGCCGTTATTTTGAATTGTTTGTGGTCTTCTCTCTCGGCGATTAGTTTGGTTTCTCGAACCACATTAGTTTGGTTTTGGCTTCCGCCGCGCACAACATGTCACATATCCTCAACAAAATTCATGTCCAACCAAATAAAATTTAATTTGACTTTATACCTCATGCAAATCCTCTTTAATATCCATCACAAACAAACATGATTTTAATTATGGATTTTTCAAAATCCATTTCATGCATCAAGATTAAAATCCACAAAGCAAACAGCCCCATAGTGGTAGCAATATGGATTTATTTTTAGTAATGAACTAAAATATCCAAATTTTATAAAGAGATACTGATACATTTTGTTTGGCTAATGACTATAAGGAAAATGAGCGTAACCTTAAAAGTTTGTAGCTTCATACAATAAATAAAACGTTTATAATAAATCAGTTAGCTAGTTATTCGGATGTACATAGTTTACTAAAATTCATATCCATATCGATATACTAAACAATCAGAGGTCCAATATTTCATATTTGTCAAAATCAATTAGATTAAGACCATATAATTTGTGCCCCTTGAAATCCCTAGTTACATCCCTCAAAGATGTAATTATGAGAGGATTAGCGGAAGTTAGAGGAGCTGCGTTGAAGAGAAAATATTAAGTGGAGAACTTACCATTTTAATTGGGCTATACCCAACTTCTAAAGGGGAGAATGTTTAAAGAGATGCATAATACTAGTTTAAGGAGATGCACATAAATACAAGTGACCAAAGGATGCACGATAATAGTCTAAAGAGATGCAGATAAAGAAATCGATAAAAGCTAACGTGCAAACTAAAGGAATGCTTGGTCATGCCCAACAACTCACCAAAAATAAATCATGAAAATGGGATGACATGACGAACTTTAAACAGCTGAAGGATCATAGGTAATGCATACCTGAGACAAGATGATGTGGCCTCCTTGCGATGCAAATAACTTCTCTTGCTTCATCTTATTAACAATATACGTCGTAAAGTTTTGCATATGTCTCTGAACCAAAAGTCATTCGCAAATTACAGTATTGACAATGATCGAAACAACCAACATTATAAATAAAAAAACGTTTTCCACTGTTTAAACCCAGACCTTGAATGGTTCGTTATTTGTCCGAAACACAGTACCTGGGACATAATGCAACCAAACAGGGATTCCCCTGCAAGCCCAACTTTTATAATTAGAGCGAGCAAAAAAAATCAAGAAAATTATGATTTCGAATAATATTCATACCCAAAATTGTATTCAGCTGCAACAAAAGGACCAATGCGGAGTATCATATACAATCCAGCATCCCTCACAATCTTTGCAAACTTGACGAGATCGAATCGATCCTCAAAATAGTACTGAAACCAAGAATTAAATCAAGACAAGTAACAAAATGAGGGGGGGGATTCAAAAATGAAAGGAAAATAGGGGGGGATTCCCAATTTTTGATTTTACATTTCCGGGGGAGAGCTCGTGGCCGTTCCAAAACACATAGGTCTCTATAGTGTTACACCCGCCGTCTTTAGCAGCAGCGATGAGCCCCGGCCACATCTGTTCAGAGTGGCAAGGTCGTAAATAACTCAAAAAAAAACGGGGGACAGAAAGGGAAAACAAAAGGGGAAGGGGTGAGATTACGGAGGGAACGCTGCGAGGATAGTGGATGGAGGCGGAGATGAGGAGCTTCCGCTGTCCATCGATGATGAGAGATCGATGGTCGTAGGTGACATTTGCGCAGAACACAGAGGAAGCCGAGATCAAAACCAAGAACGGGAAAATGAGAGCAGTATTTGGGGCCATAATAAATATTGGATGAGGAGTAGCAAGGGAGTGCGGATAGTGTGAGACTATATACGGAGGGAGGCGGGGTAAGAGAGAGAAAGAGAGATTGGTGAACAGCTAAGATACAACTCTCAGTCTCTAGTATCAGCTACTGAGCTTGGAGATTACGTACAGAGGGTGGGATCGGTGAACAGCTAAGATTCATACAGTCTAAACATCTCTCTCGATTTTGGCGGGGACACGAGGGCTGGTATTCGGCACATGGGACAGATGGGACTGCGCTCTGCCGACGTGATCCGCGCCGAACTCGGTGGGACCCAACGTCGGTGAGTAGGTGGGGTCGAGGATGGGGTGAGTGAAGGAAAGGGGTGAAAGAGGGCTGGGTGTGAGAAAGGGTAGTTGTCAGAACAATGAATGGGGACTGGGCTTCTCTGTATTTATTGTTCCTTGATTTTATCCGGCGCTGCTGTGGCCTTGCCTTTGTCGGGGTTCTGTTTCAGGCATCGGACGCTGGGAAGGTGGTTACAGGCGCGGAGGGCTGTTCTTAAAATAATGATAGGGGCACACCCTCTACCACACTCCCAACCACACAATCTTTCTTGCTACAGTGCACGTGGCCCACTTGAGATTTTAATTTTTAAAATCTCAAGTGAGCAATGTGCACTGTAGCAAGAGAGATGATGTGATTGGGAGTGTAGTAGAGAGTGTGCCCCTAGTGTCACTCCTGTTCTTATGTTCTGAGAAAATGTTAGGCCGCGTTTGGATGCTTGATTTTGAGGGGGTTTTGGGGGGGAGGGAACTGCCATTTTGTCAGAAAATGACAGGTTTTCATCTAAAAACGCCTCAATCAGAAAATGACAGGTTTTCACCCCAGAAAAAAAACTTCCAGCGCTCCCTTAGTCGGGGGTGTGTATCACATTAGGATATTGATACTTTTATTTCCTAAAATATATGAATACATACATGAGATATCTTAACTTATATTGATTACATAGTCGCAATTGTTTTTATCCTCAGATTAATAGAGATTATTGGTCATGGTTAAGGATAAGATATTCAATCTCTAAGCCCTTATCTATAAACATAGGTTTTTCGTGAGGGGTGAGAGAGAAAATATATAAATACATATGATTGCCGTCATCTCCTTCTCTGCTCAAATTCGTGATTTATGTAGTAGTCATAGGGTGATATATGGGGATTTCTCACCGGTTGCATGGTGTGGTTGGCCTCCAGCTATTGATAAAGAAAAGTGTGATGATCCTACATAAACAATATGTTTGGTAAATCCTAAACTTGTGGTTTATGTTCCTTAAAGCATGCTAGCGTTTCTATGTTTTCGCTCATAATCTAGTTGTATATTTAGCCTATTACATATGTGTAGTTATCTGGATCCAACATTGGTATCAGAGCTGGATCTAAGATTTTTCCTCAGTTTCTTGATAGTGATTTTGGTCATAAAACATGAAAGTTAAGATTTTTATTATGACAAGATTCAATTTTTCATTACGGTTCATTTTTATGTATTAAAAAATCCAATATTTGACATCTGAGATGAGAGATCTATGAAAAAAAGTTAAATTTCATCAAAATAAATAGTTGGCTGGATTTTGTTAAATTTTGGATCTAATTAAATCTGAAATAAAAAAATATTTTTTATTTTAGAAAATTTCAAGTTTCAAAAATAAATG